TTCAGTCACCAAAAATCATAAAATGCACCTTATTTAAACTGGTTGGATAAGTTGTCACTTTGTGCACCTTTGGCCTACTTCCAACCAAGCTGCTCTTTTCACTTCATTCCCATTCTGACCACTCGCACTTGTGGGACTCCTCTTTCACCATGGACATCGGTACAGGTGAGAATCAGTCCTTCGGCTATTACTCAGAGACCAAAGTCAAAGATTCCTCAGTGTTCAACACAAAAGACATTTCTTCCAAAACAGTTTTACTGTAATGTTCAGACACAACTAAGGGAAGACACTGGCCACATTAATGACATGCACTGTGGTGGAAAGCAAATTGAAAAGACTGGAGTATTTTAGATATGCCAGCACAGTCTTGGCTCAACACCAGACGCGAAGTTGGTGCTTCCTTCAGATAAAAATCATGTGGGCAACTTTATTTATCACAGCCACAAGAAGAAGAAGAAAGATGGCACTTAGGGATCACTCTCTTTCTCTGATGCACTTTGAAAAGACCTCATAAGAACTCTAAGATGTTTGGAGTGACCTACCTGGAATAACTGACACCTGAACTAAAAGCAAATGGTTGTCTGACATTTACTAGTAAATAAAAGCTGTTGGTGTCTTTATTTTTGAAAACATACTCACTTTACGTGGCTGGAATGCATGGTCTCTTAACTGCTCATGCTCTCTGCAGAGGTTAATGGATGACACTCAACAGTACACTCCCTCTCCCCCCCTCAACAACATAATTGACTGATTTCATCTTCTGAACAGCCACATGTCTGTTTCCTGTCAGATGAGGAGATAAATGGTGGCTACTGACAGAGTACAGTGAGGATTTGAGTATCCTGCCTTCTTCATACAAAGTGTGGTGATGCTGCATTTTCTTTTCTTCATTTGCAGAATGTCCTCCGATGTATTGCATGTATCACGGCTCATGCCATGTGATGACACAGGGGCCTGTTTGCATGTAAGCTGAACTTCACCCAGACACACACACACACACACAAACATGCATTTATAAGCAGACTAATACACAAACTCAGTCACATTCATTAAGATGCACAAAAGAAAGATAAGTATCTTGTCTGTTCTTCCCACTCCCCCTCTCATCCTTTATCTGTCTGTGAGAGCTCTAAAACATGGAAATCCCATCAGTCTTGTTTCTTTCCTTGGAAAAGACACGCTCCGTGAAGCATGTGGGAATCTGCTTATCCCCTGCAGATTAAGCAGGGTGGTTCTTCCTTCATTTAACCGCCACATAGTGTTTCCTGGGAATCTCTGATGGGTTCTCCTTGTCAATATTTAATCGTGGTCACCACTAAGAATAGCTATAGCGGGTAGACCCCCAAAAAGCCATGCATCAGATTAACCTGCCAGCATAATACAGCCGTCTACCTTTCAAAAACACATTCAAGACAGACACTCTGTTGGAGGTTCTTTTTTTTATTAAGCCCGTGAATCTAGCTGTCTGCATCAGCAGCTTGGAATGTCTGCAATGAGATTTTTCATTATAAAAGAAAGAATGCAATTATAAGACTTGGTGCTGGATCTGCTAACATCATTATGCACCAGTGAAGCCTCTCTGGGAGATTCACATTTCCCCCTCTTTTCACCAAAGGTTAAATTCTCCAACATGTGAATGTGAATCATGCAGCGGGGTGGATACACCTTCCCTAAAGTTACATAACTAACTGCGCGCCATGTCAACAACCCAATAAGTGTCACGTTATTAGAAAAGCAACACCTTCAATTGAAATTAAATTCCTGCATGATATGAATTTGTGAATTTGAGAAATCTCTTGTTAAGACAAAACTGAGAAACTGGATTAATCCAAATTTTGGTTTTCAACAACTTCACTTCCTTTTAAACCATTTTTACAGGAAGGTGGAACTGCTGCACACTTTGAATGCTAAATAGCCCATACTGGCTTGTCTGCTTCTTATCTAACTTGCAAAGATGAACGCACGTCTTGTCGTGCACATCCTGACAAAAAGCGAGCTGCTAATGTCGGTTTGTAGGCTCGGCGACACGTACAGAATATAAATGTACCCACGGGTATCAGTTCGGACAAGTTAGATGCTGGTGTGGTCTTTGCTTTTCAGTACTGCTAACAAGCTGTCTGCCCGTGACAAGTGGACACTACCGCAAATTTGTTTACTTTGTGTCCAATTTCACTGACAGAGCTCAGCTGCTGTCAATCAAGTGCACCCACACGCCTGCCCAGCCAGCAAAAAGGAGAAGGGAGCATTTCATCTGTTTCTCCAGACACCTCTTCTTCCTTTTCCTTCCTGCTTTATGTCAAAAGATTTTTTTGTTAATGCTTTTTGTCTCAGAAATGCTGCCTCATTTAGTCCTCCTGTGTTTGATTCCCCTTTCCTATTCATGTCCCCGTCCAACATTCCTCAGTGCAGCACCGCCACCACCACCGCCTCCTCTCATTATGTAAGAGGACCTTACCACCGTCATTCACACTGCAGTGTGGTATGGACTTCCTGAAGCTGTTCCAGCATTGATAACAGCCCTGCTGTAGCAGAACTCATGGCCAGCACCTCTGGCTCAGTATTTGCCTCACGTTCCTCCACTCTGCTGAGCAGGATCCACCAGGGAACCAGGCCAGGAGCAGCCCACTGCCATGGCTAGACAGTCGCACAATATGCACGCTGACCCCCTCTGAATGATAATGACTCAGTGTGGCTTTGCTGAGAGCTGTGTGTTTCGAATTAGAAGGTCAATGTTGCTCTGAAATCAAGCTGATACTGAACAGATGTTGACTTGGAGCAGAGTCTTAGATTTGAAAAAGAGGAACTTACTTTCTTTCCAGATGCAGCTCCACAGACCGGCCAAACAATTCACAATTAGCCATGTGTTTCCATGCTTGATGTCCAGCAGATAAATCTTGCACTTTTTGTCAAGATGGAAAAGACGCGTATGTTCAGTAAGCTTAATAGAAACTGTCAGGATTATACTTCTTTTGTTTTAGTATTTGATTTTATGTAGTGTCAAAGTCTGAGGAGGTTTTTTTTTACATTATCCTGTTCTTACCAAAGTTTTGATCTATGTCTATTTAATTAAGTGTTATATGTATATGTGCATGTGCAGTTCATTAGTAATGGATGACAGTGCCACTAGTTGCTTCATTAAAGACAAGAAATATAAAGACATATTCAGCTATGCAGTAGCTCAGGGCCTCCAACCAAAATCTGATTATAAAACATCAGAAAAGAGCATTTACACAGATGGAGATCTTAAAACAAGCATATTGTGTTCATTTATTCCTCTTATCTTTGGGCCAGTAGAGACTCACATTTGAGAAGCACATTTGAGTCAGAGTCCTCATCATGTGATCACAAAAAGGTGCTTCATATGGTTTCAGCATCCGTGTCTCATCTTTCGTTTGTTTTTCCTTGCGTGGTCACAGCTGTCAGCCGGGATGGACAGGAAACCGTTGCCATGTCAGAGAGAAACCATCCCTCTCCACGACTTCGCCGAAACCAGAAGACACGCAGCTGGGTAATAAAGAAGTCCACCTCTTCTCTCACCTCTATTAAAATGACTCGCCTGAGTGTAATTACTGCATCCTTACTTACCCCGTTAATGTCACTGCAGTTCCTGTGTACGTTGGCATCGGCATCGGGCTGCTGCTGCTCGTACTCGGAGTCGCCGTGTGTGTTCTGGCTCTGCGCAAGAGAAAGTGCCACTTAATGTGAGTTGGAGCTGCATTCGTTCCGCTGTTTCACTGCTGATCCTTCGTGTAACGATTATGTTCATGATAAATGTGTTGATGAGTTTGTCTGCCGGCTCCACAGAAAGCCCAACCTGACGGACTACGGGGTGATGGATAACCCAAATTTTGACTGGAAAGCAGAGGTCAGCAGACAGAAATGTCCAATCAGTCATGTTTTGAGTAACATTAAGTTTCTCAGCCGCACAAATCAAATATTTCTACCATTGTTCTCACATTTGTTCAATAAGTGGATTTAATTTTAGAAGAAGTCAGAAGGTGCTCGCCAGAAGCCTTTCTGCAAAATTAGATTTTTGATTTAGGATTATTGATTTTGCAGTTTGTGTGTCGCTATGAGTTTGTATTTCTCCGAGTGTTGTATGTACACACTGTAGTGCCTATACAGCAGGTAGACACAATAACTTATAATAACTTATTTTATAAGTTAACTTATATAACTTAACTATATAATCTGATCAAATGCAACAGCACAAGCTGTGATGCCAAAAATATCCAATTTAATCAAGATCACATGATGAAAGGCTTTAGAAACTGCTTCTTCACTGGCTTGCATTACCTTACACGGGTGCTCATATTATTGTTTGCCCACTGTGTGTTTTGTTTCCTGCAATTTTGATCTCTGCTAATATTCCTGCTATCAATGAGAAAGAGCCAAGCGTAGGACATGATGCAAGCACAGCTCTTCCATTTGGATAATGGAATGAGAGACACACACAAACACACTTTGTTCTTAGCTACACGGGCGTGTCACCGAGTAATACAAGTCAGAGTGATGTTTCATTGCTCTGATGACTGTGGATTAAAACTTTGCTCTGTGCATGTGGCATGTTTGTAAGAGTTATAATTCATAAACACATAAACACAAATCAATGTGTGACCACAAAGCTTTCATGTACAGTTTCGTGATCATTTTATGAACCATTTTTCATCTTCATGTACACGAGAAAAGAGTTTATGTCGATGAATTCTAATCAGTACATTATTAAAGTGCATGTTGAATACACACAAGCACAGCACACAAAATGTGTTTAACTACACTCATTTTTCTTACTGGCAATTTTAAGTAGAGCGTTGTAGCGCCAAACCAGTATATCCATGACAGATCCGCTTCAGCACTTACACAGCAGTGGAAACAGTCGGCGATTATTCCACCTCTGCAAGACGATGAAATATTTTATGGAGGTTAAAGTTGTAATTATGTACACATAACAAGGCAATTTGATTTTAATTGCGCTTGCATTTCATGCACTCTCGCACATTAAGCCTCATCTCATTTTAAACCCATGTATATGATTTTTGTTACCTCAGGATGAAAGAGCGGGCGGCTGTCCCAGTGTGAACCCCAGGAGGAGTGATGGTCACGGGCTTTCCATCAGTGTCTACCCCTGGAGGAAGGAGGTAGAGGTATGGGGTCTGTACACAGCCTTTTGGTTTCCTGTGCAGAAATCAGCACACAGGAAATGATGTCTTTTTTTGTGCGTATTCATACATACAGGGTCTGAACTGGAAAGATGCCAAGCTGTCCTTCTCCAACCCCATGTACCCTTACCCCCCTAATCATAATGAGGCTGACAGCAAAACCTTTGATGCATAAAAACAACGGATATCACATTTCTTTTTTTAAAGATATTTTTTGGGGTAAATGCCAACTAAGAGCATTGCAACAAAACCATCGAGATGCAGAAAACATGGAGACAAAGACGGAGACCCATCAGTGGACCTTACGTATTCTCAGTGTGTTGAATTGTGCGTACACACTCTTGAGGAGTTTGTCTTGACCCACTGCACTCAAGTCCAGAGTGGGGGAGAGGATGCAAACGGTGACATGGATATATTTCACGATACCAGCTCGGCTTGACTTCATGTGATACTTACATGTTTAAATAAAGGTTTAAATCCCACAGAATAATTGATTGTTCAATCTAAGACATGCACATAAATATGAATAAACAGCACTGCGTATTTATCCACAGGAGTTCTGCTCTACGGACACCAAACTCTCTTGGTGAGACTTCAATGAGAAGATCAATAAGACTTGCATATTGGCCCAATTAAAATAGCGGATAATGCCGGAGGCTTAACCTGACTTTAATGGTTAGCATATCTGCTGCTTATCTGCTAGGTATAAAACTCAGGTTATTTCACTCATCATCTTCTGCTTATCCAGGCTTCAACCATCCGGTAATTCTGTGTTGTGGGATGGCTGGAGACTATCCCAGCTGTCACAGAGCCAAAGGCATGACACCCTGGATAATCCATTTTAACTGGCCTAACACGGAAAGACAGACAACCATTCCACAGACAATTTATAATTGCCAACCAACCCCCGTTTAGATTGTGACACAAAGCTGGTGTACCTGGAAAGCAGCAGGCATCCAGCCTGAATTTGAACCCAGGACCTTCTGCTGGGAGTCAACAGTGCCCTCCCAGCCCTTTTAAAAAGTATTCCCTATAAGAGACAACACTGTAGATGTAGGAGGTAACCATCAGTTGATATGTTTTGGCACTGAGTTGAGCTGTTGTCAGCTGAATTCAGGGGTTGTGGTATGAGGTTAACCCAACACTGTGTTAGATATATATTTTTTAAATCTGTACAAAAGCCAAACTGTAAAAAAAAAAAAAAAAGACCTAAATTTAAAAGGTAGCTGCTACGTGTCTTTTGTCCTGTTTTCCTCTCCTCATCTCCAACGAATTGCAGCAGATGGCTTTCCCTTGTCTGAGCCTGGTTATGCTGGGAGGTTTGTTCCTGTTTAAAGGGAGTTCGTCTTTCCCACTGTCGCCAAGTGCTTCCCCAAAGGGAGTCGTTTGAATGTTGGGTTTCTCTGTGTTATTGTAGGGTCTTTACCTTACAATAGAAAGCAACTGTTGTGACTTGGTACTATTATAAAGAAACATAATTGAAATTTAACCGACCACAGCTTTGTCTTTCCTGCAAAGATATGAGTAGTCACGATCCTCTCCCCAAAATCGTGGCAAGAAAGTAGATAACGTCACTCATTGTCATGTTAATCTATTCCATTAAAAAGTCTCAAGTATGCAGAGACAGTTAAAAAATATTCTTCTTTTTTTAATTGCTGTAACTCTAAGTCTTAGAACAGGTTGTGAATGGTGATTAAAGGGTTTGTTTTTTTCATGTTGGCAAAAGCAGAACACATCCAGTTGACTGAATTAAAATGCTCTGCTGAACAACATAGCCTCCAAACAGAGTCCCCAGTTCATTACTGATCTTTTTAAATCCTCACGAGCGCAAATAAAATAGTTTGGCCCTGCTTTATTTGCAAATTAAAATCCATTGCAAGTTGTCGTTCTCCGGCTGCTGTGTGTGTGGTGTGAAGTGAATCTCTAACTCTGCATTAACCAACACAGGACAGCTGGATCATAAATATCCAGTTAAACCGGTCCAGTTATAAATCTGATGAGAGCTGCTTTCTTTACGTGTGCCATCATAAATAGTCTTGTCGTATTTGACAGTCATCACTTTGATTTACAAGATCAGGACATGTACAGCGAGCATGCTGAAGAAAGCATGTAGGCAACTTCCCAATTCACTTCAATTCAATTTTATTTATATAGTGCAAGCTGTCATTTACTTCTTGCTAAGAGTCATGTGATATGACCGATCCCACTCTTCTTGCTGTTAAACATGCGGTTACCCTAGCTTAGCGCACTTCCGGGTAACAGATTGTTTAATCTAGCGTGTGGGCATGACTGTAGAAAAGCTTGTCTTTTCAAAAATACTAATAATATAAATGTCAGTGACTTTCTTTAATACCCTCTCATTTATATTGTCATGACTACAGACTTTATAGGCTGACAAAATACTTATTTTTTTCAAGGTTTTATTTTTTAAAGTTTGCATTTTGTAATTTTCTTATGGCAGCTTTTATGAGGAATTTGAACGATGATGTACATACCTCTAAAGCCAGTGCAGTTGTCAGGTATATGTGTTGGTAACCGCAGCCAGAGTACTCTGAGCCTTTGCCCATCAAAACAAACTCCCACCCCTTCATACTGGTTCAAATTATGAGTCTTTAATTTTTAGACTTTATATGACCGCAGTCTCCATTGTCGTTACTGTTTAGTCTTGTTCTCCATCAGCGCAGAGTCTTTGCTGAGTCTGTAGGTGGCTTCTGGGTCAGAGATTTATCAGAGGGCCACAGGATCAATTTCATTCTGTGAGCTGCTCCTCTATTTTTATTGTTTGTGCCATCGCTTTAGACAGCTCACTGCCTTTACTATAGCACACTGTTCTGCCCTTCAGAGCCAAAAAAGCACAACAGGGGTTTGGTCCCCAGTGACTACAGGCTGTTATGTCATGCCGATGCAGAATTTATTTACTCATTGTATTACTTACTAATTTAAAAGAGCAAAACAAAAGAAAAGCTAAACATACTGGCTATTTCTTTCCAAATTTTAATCTCTAACTAAAAAGCATTTGTTTAGAAAGGCCAACAGATATTGATCCCTGACTTAATGAAGCAGCAGTCACTCTAACTACCAGACTGAGACTAAATAGTAGAAATGATACAAGATTTAAACATATTGTGAATGATACGAGACGTTTAGGCATGCCGACAGAAATTATGCCACAGGAATGTAAAATTTCTTTATATAAAAAATTGAAATTGACTAAAGACACGTATAAGTGGAAACTAGTTTAAGAGATGGCCAAAATTATGCTCAGATAATTTGATATCCCTGATTGTACTCTGTGATTTGTGAATGCGACTGAACTCTTGACCCAAAATGATTTCAGAAACTGCATGTAAAAAGCAAGAGCTCCTGAAATTTTTTATATTATTAAACAAAACAAAATCACATATTTTTGCACATTGAACCTTTTCCTTTGCATTAAATTACAGATTTCAATATATTGTACTGTATACAGAAATAAAAAATCCAGTCCATGAACACAGCCTGTCCACGGAGGATATCGAGTGACAGTTAGCCTGCAAAAAATAGCTATGGGTTGCCTTTGCTAGAAACTAAAACCAGTTTAACCTTTTTTTTCTTTTTCTTTTTTTTTTTTGCCTGTCCCGTTTGGCTCTTTTGCCATCAGAATTATTGTCTAAAGGC